TCTGGTTCAGTTTTTACCGTGAAATTTTCCATATGTTGTTGACGTGCCGAGTGTGCACATTTTGGTTATATTTTGGAGATTTTTGTCCGGTATTTTGAATTCGACGGTTTTTATTTCGACTGTATTTTTCTACGATGTCTAAAAATATTGTGGCAGTAGAATTAAAGTCTTGCAATGTTGTTATCTATATTCTGTGCAAATTTGATATTCTGTGATTTTTTCAGGAAAATTGTGTAAATTCCGTATACAGCCGTTGTGCTGCCCGATTTTTGTCTGATTTCTGAATTCGTCCGGATTTCTTCTGAATTGATATGCTATCTGTATATGCTATATAAAGGGAGTTATAAGGGGCCTGGATCCTAAGAGATTCAGTTAATGTCTGGGAAATATGAAATGAGCTCAATCTAAAATCTGATATCTGTTATGTTCCGGATCCGATGAATTATGTTCTGGTGCTATAAGCACATCTGTTCTGGTGCCATAAGCACATCTGTTCTGGTGCCGTGAGCACAAAGGGAGGCATAAGGGGCCAGAATCCGTAGAGATTCTGTCAGTGTCAGGGAATTTAGATATTAATTGCAATACTATCTAATATCTGATTTGATATGACTTCTATTTCCGTACAGTTCTGTCTGATCTGTTCCGTTTAGATCTGTTCTGATTTGATATCTGTTCTGATTTGATAGATTTGATATATGTCCGTATCTGTTCTGATTTGATCTGTTTCATTTTGATTTGCACGATTTTGATATCTGTCTGATTCTGTTCTGGTTTCTGTACGGATTTGGTTTGAAGTGGTTGGTTTTGGATTCTGGAAGTTTTGATTGGAGGTTTGTCACTTTGCTGAGCTGTTGAGCTCACCCTTGTTTTCTGCGTGGTTTTTAGGTTCTGGCAAAGGGAATGAGGTCTTGGATTAGAGTTCTGAGTCTGATCAGTTATAGGTATTTTATACTTTTTGATTTTTGTACAGTCATGACTTTTCTTCTTTGTTCTTTCTGTCAGCCATGTACTGTATTTGTAGATGATTGTTTTGAGGAAGAGAAAAATATAGATGATTTGTTCCACTGCATTTGTTGTTTCATAGTAGCTATGTGCGTCAGTTTTGAGTTGAAATATTTGGAAGAATCAGTTTCGAAGCAAATTCCAAAGCCAGATCCTGGTCTGTTTGTTTGGCTGGTCGCGGCCCGGTGCGGGCGAGATCCGTCTCGGTCGGGTCGGGTCGTGACAAAAATAAACTCAAGGAACTGAATGATAACAAGTTACAACCTGGAATTGATATGTTAAACCTCCAGAATTTGGATTGTTCGGCTCTGGGACTCAGTCAAGCGCGGATCAATGAAATGAAGGAGAAAGCTGTTTAATTTGCTTCAATTGGTCTTGGCTAGAATCAATATCTGGTGGGTTCAAAGAGCTAAATGTTAGTGGATTGCAGAGGGAGATAGGAATTCTTCTTTCTTTCAATCGGCTGCTTATTGTAAAAGAAATACTAATAGAATTTCCTTTTTAAAGAATCAGGAAGTCCAACTGTTAGATAAATAGGAAGATATTACAGCTGAATTGCTTCATTTTTTCAATAATAAATGGGCTAGCAAGCAGATCTCGTTGGAGAACTGGCCTTATTTGAAGGGACTTCATGATGATAAGCAAATTCAGAGTTTGAAACAAATGGTTACTAAAGAGGAGGTGGTCAGAGCTGTGTTTAATCTTCATGCTAACAAGTCTCCGGGTCTGGATGGTATCACAGCTAGCTTCCTTAAAATTTTCTGGGACGTTGTGGGAAAGGATGTTGTGGAAGCCATTATGGAAGTCTTTACTTCTGGAGTTATGCCGCGGGAGTGGAAGGACACTCTTGTGATTCTAATTCCTAAATCATTGAATGTCGATTGCCCTTCTAAGTTTAGACCAAATAGCTTATGCCATACGATTTACAAGGTGGTTGTTAATGTTCTTTTGGAAAGAATTAAGCCATTACTTTCAAATTTAATAGATGACCAGCAAGCTGCATTTGTTTCGGGTAGAGCTATTTTTGGCCATTGTTTGATTGTTCAAGAAGTAATGGATAAGTTTAGAAGAACAAAATCTAAGGAAGGCTTGTGTTCAATAAAGATCGACATGGAACAGGCTTATGATAGCATGAGCTGGGATTCTTTTTCTAAAATTATGCAAATCCTTAAATTTCCTTCTAATTTCACTGATTGGGTTTTACTTTGTGTTTCAAATGCTTGTTTTTCTCTCTTTATCAATGGGAAGAGAACAGATTTGATTCAAGGGTGTAGGGGATTTAGGCAAGGATGCCCCCTTTCACCTTATCTTTTCATCTTATGTTCTGATTTGTTATCAAAAGCTATTGACCAATTTGGTGGTGATGAGATTGGCATATCTCTCAGTCGGTCAGGGCCTAAAGTTAGTCATTTGCTTTATGCAGATGACATTATTCTCTTCACTAGAGCAATCTTCGGCGATTTGAGGAAGTTGAAGGAAATTACTAATATGTATTGTTCTTGGACTGGGCAAAGAATAAATACATCTAAATCTATGATCATGATTAGTAAGAGTACTCCTCGTTGGAAGCAGCACAGGTATTCTAAGCTTATGGGCATGCAGAGAGTTAATTCCTGTGAATATTTGGGTCTTAACTATTCTCTTTCTAGAACTAAAGCTTCGGATTTCACCAAGGTGATTTCTAAAGTCACCAATTTGGTTAATGCTTGGCGTTCTAAGAAGTTATCATTTACAGGAAGAATTACTCTTATTAAATCCACCCTTTCATCTTTGATTAACTACCATCTTGCTCATACTAAAGTTCTTGTTGCTATTTTAGAAAAAGATAGAGAAACGGTGCAGATCTTTCTTATGGCAATTTTCTGTTGACCATAGGAGCATTCACTATGTGAGTTGGAAGAAGGTTTGCTTGCCTTATGGCCAAGGTGGACTGGGGATCAATTCATTTTGATGCTGGAGTGGTCCTTTAAGGGCATGGTTAGCTTGAGGTTTTATACAAAATCCTTCTAATATGCATAATGTTTTCCTCCGTTATGTTTATGGTAATTCGTTGGACGCTGTAATCCCGAGAGCTGGGAGTTCTTGGAAGGTATTATAGGAGGGCTGGAAAGCTCTAAAATCTGTTATCATATGGAAGATTGACAAAGGAACGTTGGTCTGTATTTTGAAGGATGTGCGGATTCTAGACACTAGCTTATTGTCTTGGCCTTCATTCTTTAATGTTTCAATTAATGATGACGATAAAGTAGATGAATTAATACAGAATGGTTTGCTGGAATGAAGAATTGCTCCTGCAATTGTTTGGTCCAATTATTTCTGTTGAAATTAAAGGAGTAAAAATTTATCAGGATATGGAATTAGACAAACCAGAACTGATCCAGTCTACGGTTTCTTTGGACGTTCTGTTACTAAGCAAGCTTTCGTTCTCAGTTCTGTAAGGTGGATTGGAGATTTAATTGGCTACAGAAGGTGAAATTGCACCCAAGGGAATTTATGTTATGGTGGAGAGTTATTCATGATGCAATTCCAACTCAAGATTGGTTGGTTCGCAGAGGATTAGAGGATTCAGATCAATGTATTTTGGGGTTGAAATGAGAAGGAGGACATTTATCATATTATGTTCAACTGTAAGGTTTATTTGGAGGTGTTTGAAGTTCTCAAATAGTGGGGCTTTCCTCTACCAAATTGCTTGGTTCGGGGTAAGGTTGGTTGTCCCGATCAGCAGAAAACAGAGCAGTGTGTGATTGAATTCTCTCAAAATGACTTGCTTTTCTTAAAATCTATCCATTTCATTTGGTTAAATAGAAACGAGAAGAAGCATGGTAAAAAAATGGGCTACACGTTTGATGGTTGCAGCTAATATTATTGGAAACCTCACAGTGGTGAATCTTTCAACCCTTAAGAAGCAATGGGACACTATTCGGGGTCTACCCGAATGGTTGTAGTTGGTATCCTCCCCCTTCGAATTGGTTGGAAGTCAACATGGATGGAGCATTTAAGAAACCGTATTCGGCAGGTGTGGGAATTATTGTTAGATATTCCAATGGCAAGGTTTTGGTGGCTGCTGGTAATCAAATTAGACATTGGGATGTAGCTTACATTGAGCTACAAGTTATAGATCTTTTAAAGAAGGTGCTTGATGCGGAGATTTTGGGAGCTACATGCATCATCATTGAAGGGGACAATAAATCAAACATGGAGTGGCTTTACAAGAACGTCCAACTCGGTAAGTGGAAATGTAATTCTTTGGAGTTTGATCTTTCTTTTGTTAAAGATTTTAATCATGTAATCTTCAATTTCATGCATAGAAGATTTAATAGGGCTGCTGACTTTTGTGCTAAACTTGCTTTGTCCTCCTCTTTTTTGTTGGGAGAAGAGCAAGATTTTAGTTCTTTAGCTGATTTTGTGAATATCCTTAAGGAGGATGCTTCTAAACCTCCTTAGGGAAGCCTTTGTATTCTTTTCTTTAGTTTAATAAATGCCTTTTATTGACTTTGTTAAAAAAAAATCTTGATAAATGAGTTGACGAATTCTATGGATAGCACTGACGACTCCAACAATGAACTTCAATAAATTTGATAATATTTTGAACAATATTATTAAACTGGAGGGAGGGCACACCGACAAATTTTTTTTTATAATAACAATAAAAAACAATAAATTTGTTTAAAATTGATTTATTCCAATCAAATACCAACAAAACTGAAGACATTTTTTTTTCAAATACTACAACTTCCAAACATGAGAAATTATTCTGTGCGGAGTCCGGACGCAACTCTACGTCTGGAGTTGAATAAGGTGCAACCATATCAGCAATATCGAGTCACGATACACAACAAAACAATGACATGACATAGAAATAATTAATATCCAAACAGCCCTCAGATATTCCTACTATCACTATTTTATTTATACAACCCTACAAATTGGTAATTAGCACATAGATGGGTAATTAACAAATAGATGGAGTCGTTGGAACTCATATATACTTTAGAAAAAAAAAAAAAAAAAAAAAGAGAGGATGGACGGTCTCTTCTCTGCAAAGCCCTTATATTTTCCTCGCTAGCTTATCCCCTTCGCCTCGCCGCGAACTCCTTCGGAGATCAAGAGAAAGCATCCGGAGCAAGGAGGCGGCTTTCCACTATCATGGATTTCTCTCTTGTACTTCCCACCTCATCTTCTCCTTCTCGCCACCTCATCTTCTCCCCCTTTAAACATACCCCCATCCGCGTCCAATCTCTCAAAGCCCCTCGCACTTCCCTCCGCTGCCGTTTCCGACTGTCTGCCGCCGCAGAGGTTGAGGAGACAGTTAGCTTCGGCAAGCCCTCAGTGTTCGGCTTGCCGAAGGATCTTACGGCGCCGCAGAAGATTGTGGATACTTTGCCGCCGCGGGCAAGGCTTGCGAGTTACGTTGTGTTTACCGGGGCAGCTCTGGCTGCGGGGTTTGGATTAGGGTTTCGCTTTGGGGGCAGCCAGGCTACGGGGATCGGAGGAGCTGCTGTGCTCGGCGTTGCTGCTGGGGCTGCCGTATATAGTATTAATTCGGGTGTTCCGGAGGTTGCTGCGTTGAATCTGCATAATCTTGTGACTGGTTATGATGATCCTACGGAGCTGAAGAAGGAGAATGTTGAAGCCATTGTTGAAAAGTTAGTGGGAGATGTATTGGTTTCTCTTTTCAATTCTACATATTAAAGGTTAAAAAAAGTTCTTGTTTTATGTTGTTAGGAGGGCGTGTCATTGGGGCCCAAGTTAAGCTAACAACCCCAAAGCTTTAGGCAATGGGTAAGAACCACTATTAGCATATTAAAAATCTAATTCTTCTTTCACGTGTAAAGTGGGATTGTTCTTCACAGTCACATGCATCTCAATATTTTCCCAATCACATCAGAGTTTTTCACATCAGCCATTATTCCTTCATAAATGAAAGTTTTTCAATACCATAAAGTGTCATACACAAACAGCTCGTCCAACTATGTAGAGCTTGTGGTTGAGTTATGATGTAGTTGATCGGTGGAAGAATTAAACCTGCTAGATGAAACACCCAAATTTGAGAAACAAACTAAGCTCAAAGCTTCAAATCATATAATATTCATCATCTCTCATTCTCCCTTACGACAATTATATGCAACCTTGTAATAGAAGGTTCTAGAAACTAAAAGAAAACATGTAATAAAAAGGTATGCAAGTCCTTATGTTAATTATAACTAGGATGTTCTTACATCATACTCCCCCTTGCGTTAGAAGAGCTCGACTCCGTCGAGATAATAAGCGCGTTATCAAGAGGTAGGTAGGTATAAAAATCATAACCAGATCCCTGGATCAAAGATTCTGCGTCTTTCAACAAAAGCACCATCTTCCCTATATTTTCTAAATGCCACATTTCATTGTTCATTAGTGGAGGATGGTGTTTTTTTGTATGATTCTCTACGGTGATGCTTTATTAAAAAGACTTCACCTGTTGCCTCTCGAATTCTTTCTTCAACAATTTACTAAACCACTGACATGCACTTTCCTGCTTTCCATTATGTATAAGGCGTGGAATTACGACAGTCCAACTAACATCATCTTTTTGAGGCATCAATTCAAATAAACTGATCGATTCCTCTGTCCATCCTCTTTTTGAGAAACTCATCACTATGGAAGTCCAAGAAATAACATTCTTCTCTTGCATTGAATAAAAAAATGCATAGGCCATCGAGCTGCAAGTAAAAACATCCCTGAAAACCATGCCTTTGAAAACTTGAACTGCCTTTTCGATTTCACCAACTCTCAAATACCCACTAATCAAAGCATTCAAACCATTTGGATCCCGCAAACGTGGTGGCATCATCTCATATACTTCTTCAGTTTGCAAAAGCATTCATCTCCTGGAAAAACCAGTGATCATTGTAGCATAGGTTATGCTATTCTTGTTAGGCATTACAAAGAATAGCTCATAAGACTGTGAGTAACTTTGGATCCCTTGCATATGCTGAGATCATGGCGTTTCATGAAGCAGCATTTCTCTTTGGCATTTGTTCAAACACTTCATGTGCTTTGGAGATATCGCTAATGTCAGCATAAGGCATTAGTATAGTAGTCCAGGAAATGAATGACATCACGGAAGGGCATGTTATCAAAGATAGAGCAAGCTTCATCAAGATCTCATTCTTTTCCTCTTTGTGTGATTTGGGAGTTTAAGAACGCACATAGATTGCTAGGTTTCCTTACTTGGGGAATTGGTTGGCATTGCAAGTTGTGGCTATAAGTTATGTAGTCTGTTGTAACTGGACCGTTAAACCCATCATAAATTATGATGGAGAGCTAGTTGTGCTTCTCTAATATCACAAAATGAACAAGATCCTCCCCTGCTCTCCCCGGTGCCCAGTGTCTGCACTCAAAAAGGGCTAAGGACAAGTATGTTTTGGAGAGCATTTGAGTATCTCAAACGCATAAAGCAGTAATTTAACGGAGCACATCGAATTCTTCAAGTGATCGGCTGCATTTGAACAAACTGTAAATAATGGAAATCTACAGATGGGGGTTCTTCAAGTTAACATTCTCAAAGAGATGAGATGCATCGCATGCGGACAAGGTCTCATGCGTTGTTTTGATGGTAATTTGGAGGTGGGGTCGCACGGATGGTACATAATCTAGAGGCAGAATGAGTCAGAGCGGACCTAGGGCTGCAAACGAGCCGAGTATGTGAGTGTTCATGTTTGTGTTTGTTTAACATTAGCTTGTTCATGTTTGGTTCGTGTTTGATTCTAGCTTTATTATTTGTGTTCATGTTTGGTTCGTTTAATTTAAGGGTGTTCGTGTTTGGTTCATGTTTGGTTCATGTTCGTTTGTTTAGTGCTTATCGAGCTTTAAACGAGCTATGTTCATGAACATATCTCGCAAACAATATATTGAACAAGCAAATATTAAATTTGTTCATGAACATTCTAAACAAACAATCTAACAAACATGGACAAATATGAAATATTTCTTGTTCATGAAATGAAATTTCTAAAATAAAAGCAGTTGTATATTTAAAATGAAAATATGATTAATTTCTATGAACATATGTTATAATATTTTATTACTTTAAAATTTATTAATAAAAAATAATTATATTATATTATGGTATAATTAAAGTTTTTATATTTAATCGAACTCGAATCGAGCTTTTTATCGAGCTTGTTCATGAACATCAACTGATGTTGTTCGCGAACATAAACGAGCTGAACACATTAGTGTTCAAGCTTGTTTATTTAAGAATCGAGTATTTAAAATATTGTTCAAGTTTGTTTGTTAGTTAATTAAACGATCACGAACGAGCTTTAATCGAATCGAACAACGAGTAGTTCGTCGAACGTTTGGTTCGCTTGCAGCCCTAAGCGGACCTAGTGGCTGGAGATGCGGGAGCGGGATGCGAGCGAAAGACAGGAGTGAAGGCGCGGAGGTTGTGTGAAACGGAAGCGGAGCTCTTGTCGAATTTGTGCATGAGGCAGAAGGGCACAAGGTTTGGGCGAGTAGTGGTGGGCGGATCGCGAGTTTGTTCGCAAGAGAAAGCGGAGGCAAACTCAAAATTGTGCGTTTTGACAAAAGTAGTGGCGGCTGCTTCGTCGGGTTCTAGATTGCAATCGTCGTGTTTGTCTCTCTCAGTCGGAAAAAAAAAATCTTGTTTGTTCTGCATTGCAGATCAAAGGGTCGATCGACGAGTTCTACATCGCGAGAGCGGTTTGGGAGCGGGAGCGGTTTGGGAGCATGAGCGGAAGCATAAATTTATACCCCTTCTTTTTTGGCATTGATCGCGATAGACCGCCCATTTTATTTGGCGTCAATCTTCATCTATGGCCTATTTTGATGAGGACATAGACATCAGTAGGAGATTCCGGAATATCTATCATCGGAAGCAGCGCAGAGCGACGACCTTGATCAGAAGACTTTATTTTTATTTTGTATTTGTGTTTCTTTTATTAGTTATGACGATTGTACCCTTTATTTGTTTGTGTTTGAGTTGTAGGCCCGAGGGCATTATTGTCTTTCTTTTCTAATTGCTTGGAGGCCTATATATAATGTCCTCATCTTGTATGAGAGGATAATGAATATTGAATGAAATTTTGTTTTCTTTGCTTGATCTCTAAGTGAGCTCATGAGAGGAGATACCTTAGGTGGGTGAGAGCAATACCCGTCAACCTTCGGTGGATTACAAGGTTCGTGGCTCCATTCTTTTCTTTTCTAATTTCATTCTACTTTCATCTTCCCTCCTAACCCCTACCCGCCGTCCTTCCAAACCCCCCATCCCCTTCCCTCCTCCCAAAAATCGAACACCACCCAACACCTCACCCTTGTGCCGCCGGCCTCCCCTCACTGTCCACCACCAACCCCACCCAACCCCTCACCACCGGCCTCCCCAAGCCCTACAAGCCGCCGGCCATTAACCCACCACCCAAGGATTTTGAATTTCAAATTTCAAAATCGTCCATAATTACTTTCCTTAATTGCTTCCTCATTAATTTGGAAAGTTGCTTCATTTAGATTCAAATTCAAATTTGAATTCTAAAACTTACCCTATTAATAACGTATATTAGGAAACCTCCTTAACCTATCAAAATCTGAAATCAATTTCAGATTTAATGACAATCCTCAATTAAATCCTTTTCGGGCCCACATATTAAATGCAAACACCTCAAATCTCCCCTCATGTGGCTGGTCCCCTCTCTAGCCCTTTCTCTCTCCATTTTTTGCCACCTAGACCCTCATTAAATCCCCATTAAACCCCCATTGGCTGCCGCCCAATCAAGCCACCCTTATTGGAATTAATTTGAATTTCAAATTGAAGATTCAAATCCCTCCCAACATGCATGCCGCCGGCCCCTCCATGGGATCTCCCTCCTCTCTCCTAATTAATCTCCCTCCTCTCTCCTATTTAATCTCCCTCCACTTGAATATGATTTTTAAATTTCAAATTCTTACTTCCATTTTCCCGTTTTACTAAAATCTAAAACTAATTTTAGATTTTGTATTACTTTCCCTCTCCAAACCCAAACCCTAACTCCACCAAAAGCAAGACCCTCTTCCCTTAGCTGCCCCTTCTTCATTCCCACCTATTGGAAACCTTTTTGCCTCATGAACTACACTCTAAGAAAGAGGAAGGCCTCCCTCCATCAACAACCCCTTGACTAGTACATGGCCGATCCGGATTAGGATTGTGGATTCCTCTACGACAATCAAAGTTTAGTCAATATTCATCAATCCACCTTCTTCAACCTCAATCCATAAGTGGATAACTCCGTAGAAGATTACATCAATCACACCTTATTTCACGTTGGCGTCATCAATTGAAGAGCATCTACCATCCGGAAGTCGGCGGAACATTTGGTACCCACCCACGTCTTTTCCCTCTTTGGCAAACTTTCGTTGGGCTACTACCATAGGTGTCTTCTCAACATTGGTGGCATCGCTTGGTTTGTTAATATTCTTTTCCGCTAACCCTATTAGACGAGCTTGAGTGAGGGAAACTCAATGTGACTTTTATATTTGTAAGTGTGGGATCTCTTGTTTACAATATTTAAGTTTATCTTTATGATTGAGATCATTCTCAAGTGATTGTTATTCTATCTTGTTATTGATTGCCTTTACATTATTGATGGCATTAAGTCTAAGCATCTAATCTTGTGAAACATTAGTTTATATTGCAAAGGTTAAGTCAATTTCTTTATAATCTCTACTGCAATTCCAATTGGTATCACATCATATTTTTTTTGGCTTCGATCGTCGTCGACAGCCTAGGCTCTGATATTAACTGATGTAGTAGATCAGTGGAAGAATTGAACCTGCTAGATGAAACATCCAAATTTGGGAAACAAATTAAGCTCAAAGCATCAAATTATATAATATTCATCATCTCTCATTCTCCCTTACAACAACTATATGTAACCTTGCAATAGAAGATTTTAGAAACTAAAATAAAATATATAATAAAAAGGTATGCTAGTCCTTAAGCTAATTATAACTATAATGTTCCTACATCAAGTTACCCTTTGTCCGTGATAGAAGATGCTTAACCCATTGAAGTCACAAACTTCATCAGCTAAGTGAAGCCGGCTATACCATTAGCTTTAATTCCATATTGTATAAGGGCTGTATCTTGACTCTATAGTTGAACCACAAAGTGTCAGATGATGGCATTCGATGACTCTAGGTCTATGACAAACCCAAAATGCTATTTATAATACCAAAAATTTGTGCCTAAACTAACTAGTGGTCATATATGATACGGAAGTTTTGCTGTCATAAATTTACGATAAACCCTCTAGTCCCATCTCTTTTCAAATTCTAGCTCTGTCACTGATCACAATAGTTTTAAGTTGGGCAAAATATCCTAATAGACGGATAATTCTAATGAAAACTTTTAAATTAATAAGTAAGAACTATTATTGGTATATTAAGGATTCAATTATTATTTCTTATATGATGGCAGCTATTCTTCATTCTCATGCGGTTTTCAGCATATGGAACATTTTTTTGTTTGCTTTAGTTAGTTTTTGCCTTTGATAGAAGGGTGGTCTAAGGTCTTTAAAGCAACTGTTCAAGATTTTAGTAAATTGAGTTTCTGTTTGTTTGTTTGTTATGTTGTTTGCATGCAAGGAGAGATCGTTTAAAAGATTGCCTTTTTTATTTTCTTGCTTTTATTATGTTCTTGGAAAGGATTTGAATTGAATTGTTTCTTCTTGTAGTTTGATACACAAATGTTGATACTCTATAGCTCTCACATTTCAATTACTGCAAGCTTCTTTCATTTTGCTTAGCTTGATGGTAAAGATGAGACCTTCAGAGAAGACTTTTTGGTTTATGAGTTTGCAGATACGGCGTTAGTAGACAAGATGAGGCCTTCAGAGAAGAATTGCGTGATTTGTATAGTAGGTATGTTGAATGAAATGGACAATTTCCTCATACATTTCATGGAATATGCTGCCGATTTCCTTATAGCTGTATATATCTACAATACCAGGACTGAATAATTGAATCTTAAATGAAATTACCTATATGGAGTATTGAATAGGTAAATGCCTTGCTAATCTTGGCCAGTAGTTTCTTTATGAATATCTTACTAATCCGTGATTTATTTGTTAATCAAACCAATAGCCGGTAAGCTGTCTAGAAATATCATTTGGTGCTCATTCTCTTGTATTGATTTTCTAATGTTTGCTTGAATTTGTTTGGTCATCAAATTTCTATGTTGTGAAAATATAAGAATCTTAGGTTTTTTCTTGTTATACAGAATTTAATTCACTGGATTTTTTGTCCAGGTTTGTATCTTCTGTTATCCCACCTGGAGCTGAAAATCTAAAGGGCAATGAGGTCGAGGCTATCATAAAATTCAAAAATGCTCTTGGAATTGATGATCCTGATGCTGCTTCTGTTCACATGGAGGTGTAATAGATATTTCGTAGATGAAATATTTTTTTTTGTCGTTTCTCCTTGCTGTGAGCTTTTTTTTTTTGGTTGGTTCCGTAGATTGGAAGGCATATTTTTCGGCAACGTTTGGAAACAGGAGACCGCGAAGCCAATGCAGAGCAGCGTCGTGTGGGTTTCTCTCACACCTTCTTCAACTGGCATGACAGTCTTTTCAGAAGATTGAGATGCATTGTCATTCGTTAGTTATTAGTGCTGTGATCTACGTGCAGGCATTTCAGAAGCTTGTTTATGTTTCCACTCTTGTCTTTGGTGAAGCATCAAAATTTCTTCTACCTTGGAAGCGTATATTCAAAGTCACTGATGCTCAGGTATCTGTCTGCTATTGGTTATCTAATGGAAAATCTATAACTACAGGAAGAAAGTATCTCATCTAGCATTTTTTTGCCCACTTGAATGACATATATGAGACTTCGGAAAATGACATACTGAATTATGGAGGCTGGTTTATACTCATATAGCTGTTAAGATCAGATCGGATCCAACGGAATTTGACCTGGAATTATATTGGTGCAAGGTTGTTTAGATTGGAAACGAGACATGACCAAGTATGGAAGGATATGAATGGGATTAGGAAAACAAACTGAAACAAATTATGTCATCATCATGCATTATAGAACGATAAAGCACTGCGTGTTTGCGTTTTTTATGTTTCATGTTGATCTTGATGTCATGGATGTTCTCACTAGACATTTGCAAGAGGATGGACCTTGGTGTATGCTTTTTGCTGATGATATTCTTCTTGTTGATAAGACTAGAGAGGGAGTTGAAGTAAACTTGAATTATAGAGGTCAACCTTAGAGTCTAAAGAGTTTCGCTTGAGTAGATCTAAAACTGAATATATGGAGTGTAATTTTAGTAGCAATAGACCTAGTGAGGGGATTGTGACTTTGGGCGATCAAAACAGAGGCCTTCCGATGACCCGTTTAGGAAAGTTGAGGTATTAGATTTGACTTATTATGAAAGGTAGAGGTAGACCTAAAAAGACTTGGTTAGAAAATATTAGAAGTGATATTTCTTTGTTCCCTAGATTTAAATGAGAATTTGACTTTTATCCGGACACAATGGCGAAAAAGGATTCATGTAGCCGACCCCACGTAGTGGGACAAAGGCTTGATGTTGTTGTTGTTGTATGTTGATCTTGATATTTATGTAAGAACTTGTTGAATATTAAATCATGGATCAACATGTTGATGACATTGATGACACATAATAAATTCTATCCAGAATTAACACAATTATTTTGTTTCAAACATTCAAATTGGTTAAACCGCTCGGATCAGTCTTTTTAAGGCAAGCGGCATCAATGAATAAAAAAGGCTTTAAGGAATGCCAAATAAGATAACATCAACAGGATAGAAAATTCCTAGAAGCTTAGGATTTATAGATTTCTGCTTGGCCTTTTTTTTGAAGAAAAGAAAGTACCCTAAGGAAACTATAATTTGAAAATTATAATAAGAGAACTTTCTAGCGTAAGTGGGTCTAATTGGACAGATATATTAGAAGGATCTTGAGGTGATAATTGAATTCTACCTTATTTGAATTGGACCCAAAAAGCCATTGAATGATCAATTTCAAATATTTAATATTTTGTACTTTTGTAATAAATTAATTTTTTTTAACCTTATAAACCACATGACAATTTTCCTCCTTTCAAATGTCATGGGAATGTAATCAAACAATCATTTTGTTTTATCTTATCTAATGCCAGATGTAAGAATATAGTAGAAGAATAATTTGCTATTCTTTGAATAACGTTAGATCAAATCATACAAAAAATGAAATGATAATCTTTAATACATTGAAAAGTTGAAATTAAGTTATAGTTCTCTTATTTTTTCTAATATAATTCATGACAAATTTTCTCTCTTCAAATCTACGAGGAATCAACCAATCTATAATATTATTATATTGAATCCAATAATTTTACAAAAACATGAAGAATTGAAGAATCAAAATAAGTTTGTAATATCTGTTTGATTGTTATTAATTTTTGGTTTGACCATGTTTAATAATAATCTAGAAGTGAAAGTTTGCTTCATGTATTGATTATGGGCTCAAAGGAATTAGACCGGACAAAATTGAGTATATTTGTAAAGAGAGATTGATACTACCATCCTTACAAACCCAATGGTGATTGTGCAACCCAATAAACCCCTCTATCATTTCATCCTTTACCTTGATGCTTCACTATCCCATCAAATTTCAGATTCAATAGGACATTCAACATTGACTTTATGCATCGCTCTCTACAACAACAATGATGAGATCAAATGTAGCGTAGGCTAGATTTTGATGAGATATTGATGGCTGAATGTCTTCAGTGAAATTACCATTGTTGATATTTTGCCGCATCTATTACCATTGATCATTAAATATACTGATGTGCTGCCATTAACAATGCCATTTTGACAGTGGCATTGAGGATCATTGTCAAGGCTTTGAAAATCGGACCGGTCAATGAACCGGAAGAAGAAGAGGTTAGGGGTTTGATGGTTCGACCGGGGTCGAACCGGGGTCGAACTGGATGACGTAATAAATATTTATTATATTTAAATATTATAATAATGATATAATTATTTATAAATATATTACAAAAATTAAAATTAATTACTTTGATTTGCAGAAATGTTGTCATATCTAACATTATTATACTAACTCTAGGAGACTCTCCCAACACCTACGACATCATTCCAGGTAAAATTATAAAGCAACACCTAGTCACCTACGGTATCATTCTAGTAGAAACTCCCAACACCTACAGCATTATCCCAACACCTACTCAATTACTTTAATGTCACAAACTCATGCCCCAACGTCATAATCGAGGGCAACTTCATCATGGAGATGACTGTGGCCATTAAATGCGGATGGGATGCCATTCTGCCTGGCCAATTAAAGCGGATGGGATGAATACGCGTCCGCCTTGGCATCTCGCGAGCAAATCACCCTCCGTTTTTTTTAGCGAAGAGAGCGGTTAAAGGTAACCGGAACCAGTTCGCCGGTTTAACCGCCGGTTCGACACCGGTTCTGAGCAAAACAGGTTTTACTTTGAACCGTAACCGGTCGGCCGGCCGGTTCGCGGTTCAACCGGTTGAACCGGCCGGTCCGGTCCGGTTTTAAAAGCCTTGATCATAGTGCATATCTTATTGAAGATGAGGAGTTTGTACAAGATACCCAAGAAAATAACCTCCTCATTTTCTTCTCTCTTGATTGTTAGGCAATCACATATACAAGTTGTGGGATACCAAGAAATCCACCTAAACCATATTGCATGATGATTTTGTTTTATAAAGTCACATGCTCATAAGAGAAGATTGTTGATTTTTTTTTTTAAAAAATAGGGGAATCGCTCATTCCTCCCCAAAATAATCCTTAACCTTCTTGATCCAAAGCATAAGTGTTGTCTACAACTTGTATATACTCTTGTAGATCCGATTTCTTCACTTCCTTCTTAGGGCAACCATTATTGATTGTATTTTAGTTTGTCATTGATTGTTACATGTTTTTTGTCGACCATGAATTGCATAGTGAGTTTATAAATTTCCAATCCATCTCCATTTTCTTCAATCATAGTGTTTCAAGCACAAAATTTTGACCTTCCATTGGGTGGGAGTAAAAGATATATAGTGTTTTTCATAACTTTGCAAGTGAATCTTGATTTTGAAGGGCCACTAAATTGGCCCATGTTCTTCCATAAGCACCCTGATGTGAAACGTAAATGCCATTTACTTGCCTAGGTGGCAAGATTAATTAAACCCCAAATCAATTTGGGGAGAGAATGAAAATCTGAAATTAAATTTCAGATTAAGTGGAATTGGCGGGATGAATTTGAATTTAAATTCAAATTTAATGGGGAGAATTAAATTGGATGAGAGGGAATTGTGGGAGGTAATTAGGGAGGCTTAATGAGGGGGCTATTAATGAGATAGGAGAGAGATTATGCCCAATGAGGGGGCCGGCCACATAGAGAGAGGGAGGAGATTATTTGTCATAAGTAGAGTGGGCCCACGTTACTAATCAAAGATTTAATAAAATCTGAATTAAAATTCAGATTTTGAAAGAAAGGAAAGTTTTCAATAATGGGGCTATCAATTAGAATTAATTTGAATTTCAAATTCAAATTGACATCCAATTAATATGAAAGCCTTAAATCAAGGAACTATTTTAAGGAAAGTCTTCAATGCCTCTTGGAAACAAATTTGAATTTCAAATTTGAAATTCCCAAGAGGGAGGCCGGTGGCTTGGCAGTCCCAAGGAGGCCGGCGGTGGACTTATGGGGGCCGGTGGAGGGGATTTAAGAGGAAGAGAGTTTGGTTAGGTAGAGAAGAAATAAATTGGGTTTAGGAAAAAGAAAATCCGGAGCTGCACACCTCGAGCAACACCTCCAATAGAACTCACAAAGAGATCTACAAGCGCCACTTCCTAAAGAACTCACAAAGAAATCTTGGGAATCTCGGAACTCACAAAGAGATCCTTCCACTTCCTCAAGAACTCACAAAGAGATCTTGAGAATCTCGGAACTCACAAAGAGATCCTTCTCCTCTCATGAACTCACTGAGAGATCAAACCAGTAGAATAAAATTTTATTATCAATTCATCATCCCATTACACAAGAAAGGACCTCTATATATAGGCCTAAGAAACTAAAACAAGACACATATGCCCCTAAGGCTCACATAGGACGACCCTCTTAAGTGAGGGTAAAAACAAAAAATTCATAATAAAAATTTAAAAATTACAAATAAAATATAAGATAACGTGGGACGATGACAGCCGTTGATCTTCAGCTCCTCGGATAGCCATGGACGGTTTGATGTCCGCATCACACCCCTTATGTTTTCTGTTTAAAAATGCTTTCTAGTGCTTGTACTTTTTCTAAATTCATCATCGTAGATGATATAATGCTTATGCATCTTGTCCATGCTTTATGCTCATTGGAAGCAACTTGCCAGGAAACTTATCCATCTCTAGGTATTTAAAAAAATGATAGTACAACTTAGAATTAACAAACAAATTTTAAATCAATGATAGTGATGATTAATTGCTTTAATAATACAATACACACATTGTTTATGGAATGAATTACATTATAAGTGCAAGATTAGACTTAACTAAGACATAATATTTTTTATTGATCGAATGAGAGGTTTTTGTATCTTTTGATTGCTCGATTAATGACAAACTATTGTGCTTGTAGCAATGCACATCTTGTTACTTTAAATTGAAAGTTTAAGCGGAGTATTTTTGCCATGCGTTCTTTAGACCCTACTTGAGATATTTTTCTTGCGGATCATTGCTAGGAGCAAAGCTAGCAACTTTTGAGGGAGGATAAATGATGAATGATTTGACTTGATGGACAATAGTCATGCTTGGGTACAAAAATTATAGTAGCAACAATATGATTAATGATGATCAATTGTTCAATGTTGTTTTATTTTGTCCAAGATAATTGGCAATGGCGACGGTGAGACATTTCCTACAATGTCATATTAAACTCATATAACCATTAAAAAGAGTGCATGTTTTAGATATCTTTGGTTTATTTTTTAAAGTGATTGTGAAATAGATAAGGATATTATTGAGAGAATTCAAGTTGAATTGAAGTGGAGGAATACATCGGGCCTAATTGTGTGATAGAAAAGTATCCCACAAACTTAAGAGAAAATTTTATAAGATGGCGGTTGCCAGTTAGACCTGCAATGCGTTATGGTGCAGAATGTTGACCATTCAAAGAGAAGCATAAACTTAAATGTTGCAGAGATAAGGATGCTCAGGTGGATAAATTGCTTTACACTTAAGATATAATGCGAAACAAGTATATATGTGAAAGGGTTTGAGTAACTCCAGTGGCCGATAAGATTAGAGAGAGTCGCCTTAGATGGTTTGGTTAAATAAAACATCGGCCTTATGTGGACCCTATTAAGATAGTATATGTTTTAGATACGGCCTATCTTAAGAAATGTAAAGATAGACTTAAAAAGACTTAGTTAGAAGTATAAAAAATAACAATTTTGTATTATATTAAATGAGAATTTGACTCTTAATAGGACAAAATGAAGAAAAATGATTCATGTAGCCAATCCCAGTGAGAGAGACTTGTTGTTGTTGTTGTTGTAGGCTGTAATCATGGACAAACTTTTTATAAGATTTTATCAAGGGTTGTAAGAACTAAGAATAGTTGGTGTTGATTGAACTTCAGATAAAACTTAAGTTACTGTCAAACAATTACATTTGCCTAATGATGACCAAGAAGTGTTTTTTTCTCCTTCCTTCCTCTCTCTCTCTCTCACCTGGAAAAGGAGAAGTGCTATACAGGTTGGCATGCTTGAAGCAATTTTTAAGTTGTTTCTACTGTAATTTGAATGTTTTAGATTTGAGTAATCAAAATATTCTCTTTGTAGATATAGGGTGTAGGGATAAGGCTAGTTGCATCAATCTTTCTGCAAACCCTATACTAGTGGGAGCTCCATGCATTGAGAGGGTTATGGGATTGTGTGCGGAGGATTGGAGAAGAAAGATAGTAATCGAGAGGCTATTTAAGGAACAATGAGATTATTGTCATGGACTTAGTTTCATAGAGAGGCTATTTAAGGAACAATGAGATTATTGGCATGGAATTAGTTTCATAGAGATGGCTAGATGATTAATTGCTTTACTATTAAATACAAGCTAATGGAAGAACCTATCTAGGTTTCAACTTCTTCAAGGGAGTTTACACCTCTTATTGATCTCTTTGAGACAGTTGACATTGGTTTTCTTAATATGAGATGAAGATAGTTCCATTGCATGTACATTGGATTTCTTCATATGAGATGAAGATAGTTCCATTGCATGTATAGTTACATACATTTATTGCCCTTTGAATGGTCTTTCTTAAAAAAATGAATATCCCTTGAACTATATTTCACAATTATAAGATGAAAACTTGCAAATTTCAGCCTACAAGATCGCTCTTAGGCCAAGCTAATTGTTTCACCCTAGGTGTACTTATTTTGGGGCAAATCTTTGCCATGAAATTCAATAAATCATTCTAATTATTGAATAAGTACCAAAAAATTCTTAAAGGTGTTGATAGCTATCTATTTTAATTTTCTTATCAATTATTTCAAAAATAATATACAATTAACATTTGCATCTTTTATGTGGAAATTTTATGGATTAGCCTAGGTGAAATAATTAAAATTAATGCTGGCTTCATAATATCAATGATGGCAACTTCAACTTTGCCAATTTTAACAATACTTATGGTAGGATTAAATTTTAATAGATCATTGGTATTCATAAAATATTTGGCTTATGTTAAGAAAGGTAGAGGTAGGCCTAAAAAGTATTGGTTATAAAATATTAGAAATGACCTTTCTTTATTAGGTTTAAATGAGAATGTGACTCTTAACAACACACAATGGAGAAAAATGATTCATATAGCCGACCCGACGTAGTGGGATAAAGGCTTGTTGTTGTTGTATTGGTATTATTAAAATAAGAACTAAGATTTTGTTTGAGGCAATTTATACTTTTCTGTTTTTGCTTTTAAGAGGTCTTTTCTCAACAATAATTTCAAATATATTTTTCAAAATCAGCTTTTTAAAGGCCAAATTTTAAAAAAATTGTGAAAAAACTGTCATCCAAATGCGCATTATTTTTTTATTAACAGTTTTTTATACTACAAAAGCAGTAAAAACTCCCTCAAACAAAGCCTAAATCTCCCATAAAAAAATCTGTTCATGTAATTTGAACTCTCAAGGAACTGTGTATTAAAAAAATAATGGTGCAAATACGTTTGGTAAATGCCATTTGAAATTTGCTCATAACTTGTGAGTGTATTAAAGTGATAACTATATTTTGTTTAATTAAAACCCATAGAGAAAACATTATGAAGAAGCCTCATTGTCATTTTCATCATCTTCATCATTAGCCCTACCTTAACTATTTTTGAGATTGGCTTTATAAATCTTCATTTTTCATTCATTCCTATTGAGATATCTCATTTTGACCTAAAGCCTCACCAAGAGCATATCATGTGCTTCGTCTTTATTGTACTAATTCCCATCCATCTATCTCTAAATATCTTTTTCATTGTTTCTAATTTTTCTCTTATTTGAGTGCATGTCTCACTAATTAGAAATATGCCATCTATAAACATCAAGGTGCCCAATTTAAATATCCTTTGTGAGTATTTTCATGGCTAGTATAAAAGTATTGGACTCAATTAACCCTTGTTTAATCCATTTGTAGTTACAAAGCCTGTGGTCACTCCACTACTAATACTAGTCAGTGCTATGGCATGCATTTTTTTTTTGATAGTTTTAACTATCTTTGATCTAGAATTTTGGCCTTAATGCCCTCCAAATCAATTCTTGTTTTACTTGATCACATGCATTCTCTAGATCAATAAAATCTGCACTTTCTATAATTTTTTTTTTTCTGTCCTTAACACAATAAACTCTTGCGTGGTAGATCTTGGCATGTAACCAAATTGATATTTTTGAAATTTATCTAATTTTCTAAGCCTATTATCCATTACTCTTTTCAATAGCTTTATTATATGATTCATAGTTTTGATTAATCTATAGTTAGCATAACGTTGAATATCTTAATTTTTATTTTTTTATTTATTCGTTGAATATCTTATTTATTATTAACTATTGGTTCCAAAATGATTGAGCTTTTTATTATTCTTCATAATTTCATTGAAAGTATTTGCTAACTAAAATCACTACAATATCCTCCATTGCTCTCCTAACATCTATAGGTAGCTCATCTCAATGCCATTGCCATCTTAAAAATTAGTGAGATCATACTTTTTGAAACATTTGCTGGCCCTGCAAAAATAAAATTTATTGTTACTTTATTTTTGTGCTAATTTTTCAGTTATCTATTTCTTGAATACTTGTTATTTTAGATCTTTTATTACATGCAAAATTTTATTTCTATTTCGATTATTGGACTAACTAAACTATTTCTGAGTACTCAAATCAAACTAATAAGTAAACAGCGTCCTTATTGGATCTCATTTTGTTTAGCATTTCGATGTTAGGTTGATATTGCCATACGTGACAATGCTCAGAGACTTTTTGCTGTGAAATTAAATTCAGTTGGCAGAGGTAACTCATTTCTAAAAGCTTTCCGTTGTGCCAACTTTTTATTGGATTTATGATCATTTCAGAACTGGATATTTTGATAGATAAGCCAGCAGGTTTTTCTCCTGCAGCAGTTTTCTAGATGGATTTGCAGTAAAAAATGAAGCAAGTCTTTAACAAACCTAATCACACTTGTTTTCACAATTAAATTTTTGTATACATTATAGTTCATTCATGTTAAAGTACTAAGCTCGTCATTGGCTGTGTTGAACCTATGTTACAACGTCTTATTTTATTCTTTGGTTTGTATAATGGTTAAATCATGCTATACTTTCTGCTTACGAAGAACATAAAATATCCCCACACTGTTTTCTATTTTTTTATTCAGGCATGTAGAATTTTTTTTTTTGAATTTCAGACTGTTAACATGGAATTGTGGGAAATATGTAGGATAACGTGCACAATGCCACAAGAAATCCAAACAGCACAAAAAACCACCTCGAAGGCAGGTAAAGTGATGTAGAACGAACATGCAAAGTTGAATTACTCGAAGAGTTTGCACGCTTAAGTGTTAGAAGCCACAATAATCATACCTTCACAATGAATTTTCTAACGACAAAAGAAAACACTAAGAGCGGTAAAATAAGCTTAGGTTGAATCACACGTGTAAGAGTTAAGATCATAAAACAATCAAGTCAATTTAACGTTGCATACATGAATGGTTTCAACAATAAATTCCTAAATTAACAATGAGGATAGTTGCTATACAAGGATTCCTCACACAACTCTATAATTTACTAGGCTTTAGCGGAGGACTAACACGATCTTAGTGAATCAATTAATTCCACAATTGAAAGTAACTAGGAAAATAAAAGAGTGAGGGAAAGAGTTCACCGAATCCTGGATTTGGGGGCTTTGGGGCAGCAACTAGAAGGTCTTTCCGATCAGGACAGTCGCCTCCTTTGGCAGAAATTCCTCTGGACAGCACCCTGGATCTTGATCGGCGAATTGGGGCAGCAGCTGGAGGATTTTGGAGCAACAAAACTGCTGTTTTTGCTGCTGGAATTCTTCTGGACAGCACCCAGGGATGATTGGACAGCTGCTATGGGTGCCTAGGCAACAGTTTGGACTCTCCAGAAATTTTGGACAGCAAAACAGGAAGTTTTGGACTGTGGGACAGCCAGGAAATTTGCTGTAGTTTTCTAGACAGCACTTCTTCTTCTATCTCTCGGGGGAGAGGGACCCCAAGAAATTCTTGATCACCCAAAAAGACACGAATACAACTAAGGAACTAAGTAAAGAGAAGAACAAACTCTTATATTTCATATAAAAAAAGACACTTACAAACTTTTGACTCAATCGACTCAAGCAAGACACCTTACAACTCTTACAAAAGACACAAACACAAATTAAAACCTAAACCTCCTTTCCAAGAGATGAAGGATACAATGGAGTGGATACTTGCGGAGAGACGAAAGAGGTTAGAAGCCAAGAAGAAGGGTGGAAAGAACTCGCAAGTATCCCCAAGAGATAGAAGAAGAAGGTGGTAAGCTCTTCCAAGAAAATCACAAGGATTTCTTTTTAAAAATTCTCATATATCATTTTTAAAACATCCCAAAACAACACTATATATAGGCATGAGAGGAGAAACCAAACAGCCACAAAACTCTTCATATTCTAAGCAAATGAAAAGCCAACAGTCAACACTAGGAACAAAGCACCAAAGCCACAGAAAAGCCCCCAAACAGTCATGGGAAGCAGCCCAGCTAGGGACCCGAAGAGGCAGCTGCGGAAATCCAAGAGGCCCGCACGGAACTGAGGCACCAAAGCACGGGAAAGGCCACCTAGCAACCAACCGAGGAAGCAAGGGGCCAAGCACGGAAAACAGCTAACATAGGAAATCCAAAAGCCCCATTGGAATCCCAAGGGACAAACTCAGAATTTTAAGAGATAAAACTATAAATAAAAAGCTACATAAATAAGATAATAAATGAACTAAAACCTAGCTAATAATGAGCTAACTTTTAGTTCAATAAATGAACTAAAAACTGGCACATAATGAGCTAACTTTCAGCTCAAAATTTATTGAGCTAGCAAGCTCAAGGGAAGTCAAAACCAAATTTTTTTGGGTTTGATTTGAACCCCCCTTTGCCTACATCAGACTCCCCTTCTTGAGAACTCATCTCCCGATGAGTTAGCTTTTGTTTTCTTCTGAGGAGGTGAAGACAGAGCATCCAGTTCTTTAATCCTTTCTTCATATTTCTTCAGGATCTCTTCTCGTTCTTTCAGAAATTGATCTTGTAAACGTTGCTTCTTCTTCACGTACCTTTCTGTACACAAGTGCATCAACGATTGAAGTTTGTACAGTTCATACAGCAGAGGATTTGATGATTCCGATGGAATCCATCTATCCATTGAAAAAGGGTCTTTAATTTCTTAAGGCTTGCTTTCTTCGATCTTTTTGTCTTTTTCCATTTTTAAAATAAAGACTCAACAAATAAAATGGACTCAAATAAAGACTCAACCTAAAAAACTTAGACTCACAAGACTCATACAACAAGACTTGACTTGACAAACCAACTTAAAAAAAAAACTAGGACTTCCTAACTTGCTCTGATACCAAAAAATGATGCGAGCAAAAAAAAAAATCTCTCGGGGGAGAGGGACCCCAAGAAATTCTTGATCACCCCAAAAAGACACAAATACAACTAAGGAACTGAGTAAAGAGAAGAACAAACTCTTACATTTCATATAAAAAAAGACACGTACAAACTTTTGACTCAATCGACTCAAGCAAGACACCTTACAACTCTTACAAACGACACAAACACAAATTAAAACCTAAACCTGCTTTCCAAGAGACGAATGATACAATGGAGTGGATACTTGTTGAGAGACGAAAGAGTTTAGAAGCCGAGAAGAAGGGTGAAAAGAACTCGCAAGTCTCCCCAAGAGATAGAAGAAGAAGGTGGACAAAGCTCGCAAGCTCTTCCAAGAAAATCACAAGGATTTCTTTTAAAAAATTATCATATATCATTTTTAAAACATCCCAAAACAACACTATATATAGGCATGAGAGGAGAAACCAAACAACCACGAAACTCTTCATATTCTAAGCAAATGAAAAGCCAACAGTCAACACTAGGAACAAAGCACCAAAGCCACGGAAAATCCCCCAAACAGCCCAGCCAGGGACCCGAAGGGGCAGCCGCGGAAACCCAAGAGGCCCGCATGGAACCGAGGCACCAAAGCACGGGAATGGCCACCCAGCAGCCAACCGAGGAAGCCAAGGAGCCAAGCACGGAAAACAACCAACATAGGAAATCCAAAAGCCCTATTGGAATCCCAAGGGACAAACTCAAAATTTTAAAAGATAAAACTATAAATAAAAAGCTACATAAATAAGATAATAAATAAACTAAAACCTAGCTAATAATGAGCTAACTTTCAGCTCAAAATTTATTGAGCTAGCAAGCTAAAGGGAAGTAAAAACCAAAATTTTTTTTGGTTTGATTTGACCCCCCCTTTGCCTACATCAGAGATCAAGCAAGAACAAACTCCTTTTCATTCAATAATTCATCATCCCAAAATACACAACAACTAGTCTATAAATAGGCCTCATGAAAAGAAAAGAAATAAATGACTAAAATGCCCTTTGCGCTACAATACTACATGACCACCCATAAGGGTATAAAGGGAAAAACAACAATATAAAATAAACTAGTATAGAAAACATATAAATAAATAACTCAAGATCGTAGCCATTGATCTCCGATGTTCTCATCATAAAGGCTTGGTAGAAAAGGGTGCACAAATGTAACTTGGTTAGTAGTTATAAGAGGTTTAACTTGATGAAAATTTGATGGTGTTTATTCCCACAAATCCCTAAAAACAAGGATCAATTACCACAAGTTTTTTAGTCAAGATAGTTACCTGTTGTAAGCCCTAAATGTCTCAAATTTGATCAATCAGATTTTGAATTAGCCAAAATATATCCGTTAGAGGATTCCAGGGACTTCATTATGCAAGCAAACTTTCATTCAATATCATTCAAGCATACCAGAGAAAATTCTTCTTGGTTTTTCTTCTATCTTCAGGATCTCCTCCACTACTCCAGTTGGTGGTGATCTTCTTGCAAACGCCTTGACCGCAGACTACAAATTTTCTGGGGTTTGGCGACAGTGAAGCTCAATCAGGAATGAGTTGGTAGGCCTTGGGTAGTTGCAGATACCATTGATGGAGCAGCTAGGTCATTATACCTTACAGTAGAGTAGAAAGGTTGACTGTTGGTTGACGGGTGGCTGCAATGGCAAACAAGGTGAAAGGGAAGGAGAGTGCTATTGGGTGGATAATATTTAATTGTTTTTTATGATGTAATTAATTCAATATTTTGTATTCCCAAAGAGTTAACTTGGCTAAAACAAAATTAGTAGTATATGATAAATATTTTTGGCTAAGTGTTGCTACTCTATCTTCATAGGGTGATATGAAACATTAACTTAAAAGAATGATATTTATCATTTACTTATTATAGGAACCAATTTTATGATTAATTTATGAATTGAAATAAGGTAATTATGATGTGGTTGAATAATCTGCAAAGTTTAAAAGTCTAGAAATATATGTGGAAGTGATGGTAGTATGTTCCGGGAATACCAAGTCACCTTAGTCTTATTCTAATGGAACATATAAAAATAGCTAGCATTGAACATAAGTACCTACATTAAATCATTTTCTTTAAACCAGCGTGGCATTATCTTCTTAGAGAATCATAGTTTGGTTGATAAGTTTTAATTTGTGTTTACTCTTATGGTTTTCCTTGCTCAATAGAAACGGATGGAGAAAAAGGATTTTACCCCAAAAGTTGGGATAAGACTAGTTATGATGATAATGATGACTATTATTTTTGTTTCTTAGTTTAAAAAATTGTGTTCTGCTCGATGTTGCATGGACATGGGGTTTAGAAATAGCATGTAATATATGTTATACAGATGAGGACCTGACGATCTTTCTAAGAGGAGGGTATGCTTTAGGATACTGTGAATAATAACTTTAGATGCTTATGCGTATCTCCAAGTACATAGTTACACATATTACAGTAAGT